TTCCTCTGCTTGAAAACTCCGAGGAGGAGGAGGAGGGACAGTTAAATGATAGGGACCGGATTCTCATGTACCAATCATGTCTCCAGCAGATAACTTTTCATCATTGCCCAAAGAGGTGGTCATACCATCTGACACATGCCCAACTGATTATCTTAATAAATTTCAAAAGCTATTTAAAAAAGTGGTGGCAAGCCAACAAGTCCCACTTCAAGAAGTGCAATTAAAACAGCACCGCTTTTTGAAAAGTTTACACCCCACGTTGCAGGGGAAGGTTGCCTTGCCTATAAATGAGGCAGTTATGGAGACCTAGGATGAACTAGGGCAAATGCCTGCATCCATCCAGCCTACCTGTAAAAGGGCAGACAGAAAATACTTTGTCCCTCCCAAAGACATGGAATTTTTATTCACACACCCCCAACCAAATTCTTTGGTTGTGGAGTTGGCTCAGCAACGATTCAAACTGCCGCCGTATAGGGCAAGAAATCAAGACAAGGACCATAAGAAATTGGATCTTTTGGGGAGAAAGATCTACTCTTCCTCCGCACTACAACTGAGAATTGCGAATTATTTTGCCCTTTTGGCAAATCATTACTTCGATAATTATTCAAAGTTGGGTGAACTCATTGAACACCTCCTGGATTCAAAGAGGCCTATCCTGAAGGCAATAGTGTGTGAGTGCCATACCATCGCCCATACTGCCCTACAAATGGTGAATGTTGTTGACACTGCAGCTGGAGCAACAACCACAGCAGTGGACATGTGAAGTGCATCCTGGTTATAGTCCTTGGCGGTTCCCTGTGAACTTCAGGCCAAAGTGGAGGACCTCCCATTTGATAAACAAAAACTTTTTGCAGCCAAAACTGACAAAATACTACACAGCAGCAAAGATTCAAGAGCCACATTATGTACTCTTGGCATGTATACCCTGCCTTATCAGCACAAGTGGTACACCCTATACAACCACAATGGAAATGGACAATATAATCAGCCACCGCAAAGACCATACAAAGATGCCCAACCAAGAGGAGGTGCTCCAACCATGGCCACCCCTCTATTACTCAGTCCTCAAAACAGTTGGTTTGAGGGTATGGTCAAGGGACCTCCTTCATGATTCAGTGCTGTCACAGCAGTGCCATCTTTTTACCCACTGGATACTTCCCTTTCTGCCATACTGAGAGGTCATAACATCAGACACTGGGTGCTGGAGATAATCCATATGGGATATGTTACCCCTTTACCTTAATCCCCCTACCCCACTTTCTACTCCATGTCTCCTCAGGGACCCCTCTCATGACAACCTAAGACAGGAGATCAATCGACTCCTGCTGCTGTGGGCCATAGAGAAGGTATCCAAGGAATTCCACAGAAGAGGGTTCTATTTCAAATACTTCCTGAAAAAAGAACGAGGTTGGAGACCGATCCTTGATCTCTGCAAATTCAATAAATTTCTCAGAAAGCACCGCTTCACAATTGTCATGCTAAACACAATCATTCCAGCATTGGCTCAAGGGGACTGGTTCGCAGCTCTTGACCTACTGGATGCCTACTTTCACATTGCCATTCATCCAGCACACAGACGTTACCTCCGCTTCACACTGGGGGCAGATCACTGTCAATACAAAGTCCTACTCTTTGGCCTTTCCTCAGCTCCTCAAGTATTTTCGAAAGCGTTAGCTGTGACCACTGCATACCTGTGACAACATGTAGTCATTTTTCCATACCTCAACAACTGTTTGATAAGAGGAAGGTCACGGGAGGAAAACACCATGATAAACAAGACCAAAGCCCTCTTCAGTTGTCTCTGTCTTCTCATCAACGAACAAAAATCAATGTAATACCCTGTCCAAGATACAAAGTTCATAGGCACCCACCTTAACTCAATCTCAGCCCACACATACTTACCTCAACGACAATTCATAACTATACAAGATCTGATGAGGAGCCTATCCATGAGCCCTTCCACCAACATATTTACCTGTCTCTGGTTGATGTGCCATATGGCTGCAACTACTTACATGGTTTGACGTGCCCGCTTGCATTTCTGATGCTTTCAACTTTGGATAGCATCTATCTATAATCCATTCCGCCACCCTTTATACAAGAGAGTTAATAAGCCCCCAGATGTTCTTTCTTTACTCTAGTGGTCGTCAGCAGCAAATCTTCTAGCTGGGGTTCCCTTCCACCAACTCCAGCCCACAGTGCAAATTACAACGGACGCATCCCTCCTGGGCTGCGGTGTACATCTGCATGACCATGAGGTCCAAGGCAAATGGTCTCTGCACAAGACATCATTGCACATCAATCTGCTGGAGCTCAGAGCAGTAAGAAATGCCTGTGCATACTTTGCTCCCGGAATTTCCAACTACACAGTCCGGATCCTGATGGACAATATCACCACAATGTTTTACATAAACAGGCAAAGCCGTGCCCGTTCTCACTTCCTATGTGCAGAGGCCATCTGCTTGTGCAGTTAGTCCCTCCACAGTCAGGTTATACTTGTAGCATCATACCACGTGCCAGCAACACCACTTTGGACTCTTTGAGCCTCAATTTTTCTGCGGATCATGAATGGGAGTTACATTGGGAGGTCATGAATTCAATTATCTCCTAATGGGGTTGGCTACCCATAAGCCTCTTTGCTTTTCCCCAGAACACCAAATGCCCCCAATTCTGCTCCCAAGCAGGACTTGGCAAAGGCTCCCTCAGAATGTGTTCCTTAGGCCTCTCTACATTATGCCTTTCCCCCTGTATTGCTTATTCCCAGAGTCCTACACAAAATCCACACAGACAGGGCACATATTCTAATAGCTCCATCTTGGTCACGGCAAATCTGGTTCCCATACCTGCACTGGCTATCAGTTCAACCTCTCTACCCATTGCCACACCAACATGACCTTCTCTCCCAGAATCCTGGGATGATGCTGCATCCCCAGCTGCACACTCTCCATCTTTAAGCATGGCTCCTATTTGGTTCAGGCAACTAGATGCCTGATGTTCTCAGCAAGTGAAAGATATTCTCCTCCACAGCAGGAGACCTCCCACTAGAAGGGTTTACTTACAAAAATGGGCCCGTTTCTCTCAATGGTGCCAGAGGTCACTTATAGACCTTTGCACATCTCCACTGAGCACCATCTTGGACTACATTCTAGAGCTCAAGACACTGTCACTCTCTTCTCTAAGGGTATGTCTACACTAGGCCCCTACTTAGATCTAGGGAGGCTAATGAGGACCACCGAAATTGCAAATGAAGCATGGGATTTAAATATCCCGCGCTTCATTAGCATGTTCCCAGCTGGTCGCCATTTTAGAAATTGACTAGCCCGAAGTAACTGCCCGCGTCTACACGTGGCAGTGAAACAGGATTCTGAATTAAAGCCCTAAATCGAATTAGCTGGTAAACCTCATTGCAGGAGGAATAACAGCTAATTCAATTTAGGGCTTTAAATCTAGTTTGTACAGCATTCCACATGAATGAATACATTGTTTTACCTGTCTTTTTTCCAAAGCCCCACGTGTCACCGTGCACACTCTGGATATCCAACAAGCAATGGCCTTCTTCCTAGATAGAACACGAGCCTTTCATAAATCGCAATTACTTTTTATTTCTATTGCTGAACGCTTGAGAGGTACACCTATTTCATCCCAGCAGATCTCAAAATGGATATCTATCTGTATAGTCAGATGTCACACTCTGGCTAATAGACCCCTACAGAACCCACCATGAGCACATTCCACTCATGCTACTGCTGCCTCCATGGTCTTCTTGAATAATGTTCCTCTAAGAGATATTTACTAAGCTGCCACTTGGTAATCAGACCATACCTTTGCCAAACATTATGCAATACTACTATAACTCGCATCTGATTCAGTGGTGGCTACTGCAATCTTGTCCTCCACTGCCAAACGATGACTCTGACTCTCTCCATCCAAACCAAATACTGCTCTGTAGGCACCAGGGATATCACATGTTGAAGAAAAGGGAGTTACTCACTTTGTACAGTAACAACTGTTCTTCAAGATGTGTGTCCCCATGGGTGCTCCACAACCTTCCCTTCCTCCCCTCTACTTGGTGTAGAAAAGGAACTGAAAGGGAGGGGTCATGCACGTCAGACACCCAGGCGCAAACGCCGCGAGATGCCTCCAGAGCATGCATGGCCCATTGGGGGAAATTACTTTGCAAGGCTCTGATCTGCAGCTCCGGGCAACCCGCCACCAACAGTGGAGCACTTGATACATGAAGTGAGTAACTCCCTTTTATTAGATATCCAGTCATGTTCAGGTTTACTACTGAAGCATTTACTTGTAGTATTACCAAGGATACAGAGGTAGAAAGGAATTTTTTTTTAATTGTAGGTGACTTACTAGAAAATTTCTCATTTAAATGATTGGTTCAGTACTGCTTATATTTTATAATAATATTAATGATATGTTTAGGGTGCATTTAATTTTGGTATTTTAAATTGAAATGAATAATAAATACATGATGATTGGTTCTTTTGGATGAGGAAGATATCAGTTAGTGCATGAGCTTCAAAGTCCTCAAACCATATAGGAGTCACTTCAAATGTGTTCTTTTTTAAAGCAGTTACCATGTGACTTGGGTGCAAAGCAAGGAATACATTGCCTCCTCTTAAAAGGAGCATGCACTTGCTGTAGCCTGCAGGAGAAACTTCTTGGGGCTCTAGTTAAAATATGTACACTAAGTACTTCTAATATCCTCTGAGAGGCCAATCCAGAATCTTAACTCCTATGAGCTTGATCCAGCAAGGAAAGTACTGAGTACTGTGGCCATGATCCAGCAAAGCACTTCAGCATGTAGTTCATTTAAAATATATGAGTTAGTCCCTGTTAGTGATTCCACATGATAAAAATATGGGATCCTCACAGTGGCTGTGAGTTTGTTCAAATCAGCAATTATTCAGCAATCGTGAAAAATCTTTGTTTACTTAAATAGGGTTTTTATTTTTCAAGTTTAAGAAATTTCTTCCTTTCTTCAATAGGTAGAAGTTAAAGACACATGCTTAGAATGGACACCGTTGATGAGAGTTTCTGCAGTAACAGGGAATAAGGATGTGGCATCTCTTTTAATTGATGCAGGAGCAGATGTGAATGTGAAAGATAAAGATGGCAAGACACCTTTAATGGTAAGCCTTTATCAATAAACAGTTTAATTATATACTTACAATTAACCTGTGTAATTTTATTACAATTAAAAATTATTCTTAACTTGGATATGCATTAGGACAGAAATTGTTATACATTTACTTCTACAGGGCTTTATTCAAGAAAAACAACCTACTACTATTCCTTTATTAACACATTGTACATTAAAAAACTTCTTGGTTTGATTTGTGGAATAAAAGTACTTAGTTTGAGTAGACTTCATAGATTCAAATGTATGTTTATTAGGATAAATCCTCTGATTCTCTCACTCTTTCAGAATTTATCTTTCTGAAGTACTATATTTATTACAGTAAAACTCCAATTGTCTGGCATTCAGTGGTCCGGCACTCCGGATAGTCCGGCACCAACTGGAACCCAGAAGTGCTCTGGCCAGCCAGACAATTGGAGCTGCTCCGCACCGCTTCCCCAAGTCCCCTGCTGTCACTGCTGAAACTGATGAGCGGTGGACTTGGGGAAGCTGCGGAGCAGAGCAGCCGGGGTGCTCCTGGGTGCCGAGCAGGGGAGTGAGGGGCGGTGCTGTGGGACCAACCAGGCAGCACTCTAGCTGCTCTGCCCACTGCTTCCCCAACTCCGCTGCTCATCAGTTTCAGCAGCGGCGGACTTGGGGAAGCTGTGGGGCAGAGCAGCTGGGGAGCTGGTGGGTTGGTCCCGCAGTGCCGCCCCTCACCTGAGCGGCGCTGCAGGACCAACCCGGCAGCACCCCAGATGCTCTGCCCCGGGCTTCCCCAAGTCTGCCATTCATCAGTTTTAGTAGCGGCAGCAGCAGACTTGGGGAAGCGGCACAGAGCAGCTCCAATTATCCAGCTGGCCGGAGCACTTCCGGGGCCTCACGCCGCGCCGTTCCCCACCCGACCTCCCCCCCAGACCCGTCACAGCCCCCCTACCGGAGTACCTCCTGATACTCCGGCATATCAGATAATCCAGCACCCCCTGTGTCCCAAAGGTGCCGGATTATCAGAAGTCTGCTGTATATTGGATAAAGATGGTAAAAGTTCTATCTATGTTTTCATTTCAGTCATCACAGAGTACCATAGCCTGTACATTTTAATTCATAACATTTATAATAGGTGTGCATGATATTTTGATCTTTGTAAGTTTACATAGTGTCATAGCAGAGCCATCTCTGCTGTCTAAACAGCCCGGATCCAGCCTCAGGATCAGCTACTGGTGATCTCTGCACTCATTTGGAATCTCTGAAGGCATGGAAAGCTGCATGGGTGCAGGGGTGCTAGAGTCCACATTAACAGACCCTAGTACAAGACTGAGGCCTGTATAATGTAATATACATACAGTAACCTGTGGCAGATAACAGTATTGTAATATGAGGCTGTGTATTATAGTGTTGTTCTAATTATATTACAGGTGGCAGTATTAAATAATCACGAGGACCTGATTCAGTTGCTGCTGGAAAAAGGAGCAGACCCTACTGTTAAAAATGAGGTAACTAAAAGCAATAATGTTTTTGGGAAAAAAAGATTAAAAAAAAAACTAAAAAAGATTTTAAATATGCCATTGTTTTGTTTTTCAGTATGGCAAGGGTCTCCTAGAAATGGCTAGAGGTTTTCACAGACACGTATGAATAATTATTTACTTATTTATTTCCTGGTTCCTACTTGTTTTAGGTTTTTTTTTAATCTATCCATTTCCTTTAATCTTCCTAATTTTTTTTGGTTTAGAGTGTGGTCACCATGTTAGAAGAAAAGATGAGACAATTACGTGACAACACCAATCTTCCTCCACCGACTCTTGAGTCACAGGCACGTGAGGCAACTAAATAAAAGAAAAGGAGTGTTTTTCTACCAATAAGGTGAAAACATGAAGACTGGCCTTCAGTTAAGCACTAGAACTCCTTTGTTTTACTTTATATTGGTCAGTTGTTACAGATTCTTGGACACTCATTAAAATGTGTAGCTCTGCTTCCTCTTGAAGATGTTGTCTTGTATCTAAATATGTACGTATGCTGTATTGCCATTGTTCCCTAACTCTTCTTCATATTCTCTTCCATTTAGAATTAGATGCAAAGCAAAATAATGGTTTTACATGTAGTTTGTATATCATTCCCCTTCCTATTCCAAGCCTTTCTCAGACTTCATGACAATGATTACTTTTCACGTATTTTTTTTAAATTATTTCCTTCTTTTTCTTTTCCTTTGTGTCACAGGATGCATCGACACGGCACCCTAAGCTTGAAATAAGATACTCAATTTGCGCTATGCAAATTGCATATCTTATTTCAATTGAATTTTGAAATAGGCTATTTCAAAATTTGGTGGGTCTACACAGTGACAAAATTCAAAATAACATGCTATTTGAGATATCCCTTAACCCTCGTTCCATGAGGGTTACCGGAATCCCAAAATAGCCACCCAGTATAGACGTACCCCTAGTGGCTTTTCCTCTGGCTAAAGAATGTTCACTAGCTTCCACTGATGCCTGTTAGTGTTACTCTTAATATAACCTAGGGCTACGTCTAGACTGGCTTGATTTTCTGGAAATGCTTTTAACGGAAATGTTTTCCGTTAAAAGCATTTTCGGAAAAGAGCGTCTATATTGGCATGGATGCTTTTCCGCAAAAGCACTTTTTGTGGAAAAGCGTCCGTGGCCAATCTAGACGCGCTTTTGTGCAAAAAAGCCCCAATGGCCATTTTCACGATCGGGACTTTTTTGCGGAAAATAAATCTCAGCTGGCTACACTGGCCCTTTTGCGCAAAAGTTTTGCGCAAAAGGGACTTTTGCCCGAACGGGAGCAGCATAGTATATCCGCAAAAAGCACTGATTTCTTACAGTAGGAAGTCAGTGCTTTTGTGGAAATTCAAGTGGCCAGTGTAGACAGCTGGCAAGTTTTTCCAGAAAAGTGGCTGATTTTCTGGAAAAACTGGCCAGTCTAGACACAGCCTAGAAGTCCCTTTTATCCCCCCAGGAAACACTCACCTTACATGTGCAACATGCCCAGACTTAGCAATAGGAGTGTTGGACTTAGTTTAAGTCTTGAGGACTATAATATCCTGTCAGGATAATTTGTTAATTTAGGAAGGTGTATGTAATAAAGTTGAAAGGTGGATTTCAGGGTGTAAGCAGAGTTGCGACTTTAACTATATCATATTTTGTAAATAATCAGAGCTTTCCTTGTAAAAGGTCTTGTGGCATAAGGGGCAATTAACATGCAAGCACGATTCTATCCTGTGGTAAAAATACACAGTAATCCTGGAGTGTTCATTCTATCACAAAGTAAAAAAGCTTATACACACTACAAGGGAATGATGTTGATCTCACTGAGTTCACTTTGTATGGTAAAATTTAAGAGTCAGGTCTTCACCTTGGGATAGCTCATGCATGTTAGTTACCTTTTTCAGTAGAGAAGACAAGGCTTATATTAGGAAGGCAAGAGAAAATCACCATAAGTTACAGTTTATCAACTTCTTGGACTTCAAACATAAAGAATTCCAAAGTGGTAGTGCAACATTTAACCTGGCCTGGTCACCAAATGTTTTATTTTAAAAATTTGCTTGTAACTCTTGTATTCACAGTCTAATGTACAAGGTATTAATAAATCTAGAAATGGCTAAATGGTGATCCATTTTAAACATGAATAATAAAACATAAAAATCAACACAATTTTAGTATCAGCGAATGTAAACTATACAAATGATAAGATAAATGCTTTTTTATTATCAACAGTGAGAACACAAGTCACGAGAGTTTTATACAATTTGAATGCTTTAAATTTGCACAATGGGAAAACCTTTTAAATATTAAAGTATTCTTAAATTTGTAGAGGGGAGAGTGTACATCAATAGTATTGACAAGTGCCGTATTTCATTATGGTAATGATAGTCAATTTTTTATGTATAAAGTACATCCACATAACTATATTTTGATAATCTTCTGTATGCTGTCTCTTTTTTTAAAATATACACTGCTTGACATTAAAGTGTAGACGTTTTCCTTTATCAGGGTATGTTACAATGCTTTTTTTTTCTACAATGAAATATTGTGATGGGGCAAATCGGTTCTTTCAGGTGTTTACTTTTAAATGTCAATCACCGTACTTTCTGTCTTGTTGATAATATGCTGTATTATGCCTTAAATCATAAATTGCACTTATTTTCAATTTATCTTTACATAGCAACACAAAGCATGCTTTAAAAAGAAGTAACTTTCCTTTTATGGGAGTGGCTAAACAGTATACAGAAAAGGGATGCAGTCTAGACACAGCCTTGGGGTGCGTCTACACAGCAAAGTTAATTTGAAATAACAGCTGTTATTTCGAATTAACTTTAATAGCATCTATACAGGCAAACCGCTATTTTGAAATAAATTCGAAATAGCGAGGTGCTTAATTCGAATTAGTTAAACCTCATTCTATGATGAATAATGCCAAATCTGAAATAGCTAATTCAAAATAAGCGCTGTGTAGATGCTTGTTTTGAAATAGAGGGCTTCCAGTCCTTCCCAGGGAGCCCTGGTGGCCACTCAGGGCCAAACCAGGAAAACTCCTCTCCTCTCCCCGAGCCCCGGAGCCCTTAAAGGGGTAAACTCTGGCCACACCGCATGTGCCAGCTACAGGCCTGCAAGCACAGAGCCAGTAGTCACTGACCCTGACCTAGTGGCCCCAATATGAGCCGAGCTGCCAGATCCAGCAAGTTCTCCACCGCCCAGCCCTCCAGTTCCCAGGAGCCAGCCAGGGGCTGGAGAAGGCGGGTGCCATCCTGGACTAATGCAGAGATCATGGACCTCATTGAGGTTTCGGGGGAGGCCTCCAACATTCACGATCTCTGCACTAGACGGAGGAAAGCAGCCATCTACAGCTGCATAGCTGTCACCATGGCCACAAAAGGCCACATGCACACCCAAGAACAGGTGCACATGAAAATTAAAGAATTGCGGCAGGGATATGCCAGGGCCACATGGGGCAGCTTCCCAACAGGAGCACACACCTGCCCTTATTTCAAGGTCCTGGACCGCATCATGGGGGGCGGGATGGTTTGTGCCAGCCCAGGGGACAGTGAGCCGGGAGCAGAGGGCTCTGACCAGGGCACGGAGGAGGAGCCGCCACGGAGGATGCCATGTCAGCCGGACCCCCGAGCTGTCCCAGCAGTGGAGTCACCAGTGTTGTCCAGGGAGGCCACACTATGTAAGTGCCATCACTGTCCCCTTCCCGGGGGGAGGAGGGAGATCAGGGACCGCACGTGTAGACCTTCCTTACCATGGATTATGCAGCAACCTGTGCATGTGCGAGCATGTGCTGTGCCACTCCTGGGCAGGTGGCTCCAGCTGCCTGCCACACAGGGGCCTTGGCCTGTTAGCCACATGCGTGTGTGAAGAGACATGACATTCTCCTGACCCCGGAGTTGGACACAACAGGACGCCCTCCCTTCACAAGCCCCCTCTACACAGAGGCAGGGGACATCTCCCCACCACACACACACATACCTCAGCCACACTATACACAGCACAGGGGCATGGGTGCAATCTCAGGGCAGCTCCCACTCCCGGGGATAGCCAGACATTCTGACCATGGCCTCTGTGCAAGCACGTCAGCTCGGACGGTGCAGGGCACAGGTCATCCTCATATCGTGGGGCGGGGACTGGGCATCATCCACTGTGTCCCCAGAGAGAACTGATCACAGCTCTTGTTTCACCACAGCTGTAACACCTGGGACTGCAGGGCACACAACCTTGCCTGCAACAGCCACCAGCACTCGGGCCAGCAGGCGCACCAGGAACCTGGAGGACTACCAGCGGCGGCACCTCCAGCTACTGGAGCACCAGCTCCGCACCCAGGACCACTGGGTTCAGGAGGATGTGCGGCAGCAGAGCTTGGAGGCACTGGAGGAGCCGGGCCATGCCCTCAGAGGTCACCTCCAGACCTTGGTGTACAGGTTCCTGCCTCCTCCTGCTCCCTCCCCCCCCCTCCCCCAGCCTCTGCGGCTGCCCCAGCTCTTGCTCCTCTCACCCCTGCTCCCTCTCCTGCTTCCTCTGCACCCTCCCGTCCTTCCTTCCCCACCCTCCACACTCACTCCACACCTGCAGTGCTGTGAGATGGGAGAGCCAGCAGGACCCCCAACCCTGAGCTTTCCCTTACCTTCCTCCCCTTCCTCCCCCTTCCAACTCCCTCCTCCCAGGTTTCTCCCTCCCCTCTCGCACCCTCATTTCTCCATTCCCCCACCCCAGTTATGTACAATAAAGAGAGGATTTTTTTGGCAAAACAGGTGTTTTATTTTACATTAAGAAGGGGAGTTAGGGAGGAGAAAGGGGAAGAAGGGGAGGGTGGAAGAAGGCCCCAGTGGGGCATGCAGGGAGAGTTCAGTCCTTCTCCACCTGGAAGCTCTGCCGCAGGGCTTACTGGATTTGGACGGCCCCTTGCTGGGCCTCCCGGATGGTGGCGGTGCTGGGCTGTGCATACTGGCCAGCCATGCGCTCAGCCTCAGCCATCCAGCCTGGCAGGAAAGCCTCCCCCTTCTGCTCACATCAATTGTGCAGCACACAACATGCTGCCTCCATGGGAGGGATATTGTGCTCGGTGAGGTTGAGGCGGGTGAGGAGGCACCTAAAGTGTGCTTTCAGTTGGCCGAAGGCCAACCATATACCTGTTATATGGTAATGGTAAAATTTTATGGTTATTTAGAGTGCCATCGTGAAATAACTGACTTACCTAGAAAAGAGTGATGCTATTGTACTGATTTTTTAGGAGTTAGCTTTTTTTTTTTTTGATGTAGTGCTTGCATTTTACAAAATAATTTTGGTAATTAATTGCATAAGACAAAACAAAACAAATATTTGCTGTTTATTGAATATAATATTCTTAACAAATAGATTGCCCTGCTATTGCAACATTACATTATGTTTACTTGTAATACCTTAAAATAATAAAATTTATAGGAAATGTGTTTAAAAAAGTAATAAAATGTTTCGTAACTAACAGTGT